TGTTGTTCAGGCTGCAGTGCAGTGGCACAATCACAGCTCAGTGCAACTGCCACCTCCCAAGGCTCAAGCGATCCTCCTGCCTGAGCCCCCAAGTAGCTGGGACCTACAGGGGAGCACCATTAGGCTCAGCTCTTTTTTTGTATTTTTAGTAGAGATTGGGTTTTAACACATTGCATAGGCTGATCTGGAATTCCTGGGATCGAGTGATACACCTGCCTCGGCCTCCCAAAGTGTAGGGATTACAGGCATGAGCCAGTGTACCCAGCCTGAGTTTCTTAATTTTAATGAAATTATACTTGATCAGTCTTTTCCTTTATGATGACTGCTTTTTGTGTCCTGTTAATCAATGCCTAATCTAAGAATATGAACACTTAACCTCATAGCAATTTTATTTTAGTTTATGCTTCCCCTCCTGCCCCAGATAGGCTCTCACTCTATTGCTCAGGCTGGAGCAGGCTGGCGTAATCTCAGCTCACTGCAGCCTCCACCTCCTGGCTCAAACAGTCTTCCCAACTCAGCCCCCTGAGTACCTGAGACCATAGGTGTATGGGGATTCAACGTTTTCCCAGGTTGGTCTCAAACTCTTGGGCTCAAGTAGTCTGCCAGCTTCAGCCTCTCAGAGTGCTGGGATTACAGGTGCGAGCCACCCCACCCAGCCATGATTCACTTTTTACTACATGGATGTGACTGCTTGATCCAGAACCATGTATTGAAAAGACCGTCTTTGTTCTTCTACACTGTTTAGCACTTTTTTTCATCAATTGGATAGCTTCATGGTCATCTGACGAAATCAGTGTGGGTCTGTTTCTGGACCAACCTGGGCAACATAGCAAGATCCAATCTCTACAAAAAATAAGAAATAATAAAGAAATACATGAAATTTTTTAAGTGGGTAGAGTAGATGCAGTCATAGGTGGTAATTTATAAATGATTATCAATTTCTTGGCTACATACAGGTGTTGGTAAGTGAGATCGGTTGGGAGTTCAGGCAAAATGTATTAAGTGAATTCTGTGGTGTTCAGAATGATTGCTAAGATGTTCATTGTGACTTTAATTAGTTGTTATTTGCGCCTCACAGAGCTACAGGTTTTATTCTCTATTTATTTGTCTTTAAAAATTTTTACAATCTTCCTGTCGAGGCAGTACCTCTTTTACAGTTAATTGTTTTTAGGTATACTTAATTACCAGGAAAATTTTATGGATCATATCTAACTAAGTGTTAAGCCACTTAAAGTAAAGGGCTGATGTGATATAATGTAGACAATAGGATTTTACATAATAGTCTCAGGAGTATATGGATTAAATTGTTTCTTCTTCTTTTTTTTTGTCTTGAGACAGGGTCTCGCTCTGTTGCCCAGGCTGGAGTACAGTGGTGCAGTGGTATGATCATGGCTCAGTGCAGCTTTGACCTCTCAGGCAAGCAGCCTCCCACCTCAGCCTTCTTAGTAGCTGGAACTATAGGAATGCACCACCATGCCTAATTTTGTATCTTTTGTATGCAGGGTCTTCCTGTGGTGCCCAGACTGGTTTCAAACTCCTGGGCTCAAATGATCCTCCCACCTTGGCATCCCAAAGTGTTGGTATTACAGGTGTGGGCCATCGCACCTGGCCATTTTAGTTTTAATCATTTTATATTTTTCTAATTTAGAATATTTACTAAGTCTATTTAATTTGTGAATATAATATTCATTATTACTATGATTATTTTGGATGCGTTTAATCTCATTTTTTAATATAAGCTCTTGGAAATTAGAGATCTTGTCTGTTATTTACTACTGTATTCTCAGTACTTGACCCTGCCTGGTATGAAACAGATACTGAAGAAATAGTTGAATGAATGAATGAACCGCATTCAAAAATTCTCCAAGTATCACAGCATTCACCATCTAACAAAATAGCTTGTCTAGAGTAGAGTCACAGTTAACCTGCCATCAAAGGAAATGTCAATGAAAATAAACCTTCGTATGTGCAGCCGCTGAGATTTTGGGGCTTTTGTTACTGCAGCATAAACTAGCAAACTCAGTGAGACAACAGATAGAATATACATATAGAAATAGACCAGATAGACCAATAGATGAGATTCTAAAGATAGTTCAATCAGCATTAACTAACCACACCCACACTCTCTTAATTTCCTAACAGAAAGAATGGAATTCCTGTTCACTAAGATCTGCCTCAAAGAGTACTTACTTTGTGAAAACTTCTCTGGCTACTCAAATATTTAATCAGGACCTTTTTGTTTTCCTCCTGCAGGTTGGAGTGCAGTGGTGCCATCATAGCTCATTGTGAACTCTAACCCAAGGCTCAAGGAATCCTCCTGCCTCTGTCTCCCGAGTAGCTGAGACTGCACGTGTGCAACACCATGCTTGGCTAATTTTTTATTTTAAGAGACAGGGTCTGACTGTGTCGCCCAGGCTAGTCAGGACTGTTGATTGCATATGACTGAAACCCAACCAACTCTAGTTCCTCACCACCTTCCAATCTGCTCCTTTCTCAGTCTTCGGAATCTCAACAAATGGCAGTTCCATCCTTTAAGTTGCCCAAGCCCTGAATCTTAATGTTAACCTTGATTTCTCTCTTTTACATCATAGCTGGTATGAAGGCCAATCATGTTGAGACCCAGGCGGAGGTTCCTGCTGACCCAGGCTCTCATCAGCACATCGTCCTTTACTGTCCTCCTGAGGGTGTCTGGAGCTTCAGTGCTGTGTGCTCTTGGCGTCCATGCTGGAGCACCACCGACTCCTGCTGTCCAGGGCTTCCGGTGGACTCTCCGAGGCACTGATGTAGAATCTTCCCCATTCGGCTGCACCAAGAGCAGCCTCACGCGGTGTGGGCTGACGTGAAGAGCTGCCAGATCCAACAGGTAAAAATCATGAGGCAGCTGGATGGGGTCAGAGAGTCCTCTCTCCGTTACGATTTAGATGAGAAGGGAAGATTCCATAGGCCCTAAACATTGATGCATGACCCGCATGTGCCACCAACAAGCTGCAGTGCATGGTCAGGTGGAAGTTATTTGACTTCAGGAGAGGACAGTGTTCTCTTCAGGCCTTTTCCTCAGTGGCTGGATCTGCGTCCCTCTCTTCTCTCTTCTCCTCTCACCCCCCAGCCTCTGTCCCCATTTCTCTCTCTGTTTCCACCTTGCTGTTCCCTTTCACCTGCTTTCACCTCTTCAACTTTCATGCTGGGAATCATGAACACAGAGATGAGTAGAATACGATCTCAGCTTTCCCAGAATAGCGAGTTATGAGAAGTGTAGTGATGGCTTCATTAAAGCAAGTGGCTCATGCTCCATGGAGATGACCTCAGCGGATGGCCGGGTCCCCTCTTCTGGTTGTTGTCAACAGCTGGATGACTTGCTCTGGGCCAGTGACCCTGGATTTCTGCCAGGTGTCAGCAATCTTAGGTACATGCAACACCTCAGTTTCCTGTTGGGTCAAAACAGTTAATTAACACTGCCAAGGTGATCAGAGGACACTAGTGACATCAGTAGCTACTGATGAGGTCCTGGCCAGCTAGGGAAATAAAGATGTAAGTTTAACAATGATTCTAAATTTGTTCTTAACATCATGAGCAGAGAGTATCTGTCTTCTAAGTCAAATACTTTTCAGACTTCAAGATTCACCCACGTCCAAAATAAAATCTATATCAGCCATGTTACTGCCCTGAGATGATTTCTCCCTGTCCTTACCAGAAGCCTGCACTATCTGAAGCACGGAGGCTGCCTCAAGCTAACTGACCTGCTCTCTGGATTCCAGGGTCACCTGCAGAGCCAGAGGTTGAAGGCACAGGCATTGATATCTCTGAGCATTCTGACTCCAGGTTGATCCGCCCCAATACCCAGTATTAACCACACAGTAACAGGATGCCACCAACATTTTGATTTTGGGCTGTCATATCATAATTTTAATAAAATTTAATAGACATTACTTTTTAGGATAATTCTAGGTTTACAGATAAATTGAACCGACAGCACAAGGAATTCCCCTATTCTCTCTTGTCCCCTAGTACACAATTTCCTCTATCATTAGTATCTTGCATTAGTGAGATAGATGTTTACAATTGATCAATCAATATTGATGTTATTATTAACTAAACTCCATAGTTTACATTAGGGTTCATTCTTTGAGTTTTATAGTTCAGTGGGTTTTGGTAATTACCTAGTGTCATGAATCCTCAGTACAGTATCACACAGAAGAGTTTCACTGCTGAAAACCTCCTTCCGTTCAACCAACTCATCCCTCCTCCATGCTTGGCAATCACTGATCATTTCACTATCTCTATCATTTTGACTTTCCTGGAATGTCCTAGTGTTGGAATCATACAGTGTGCAGAGTCTTTAGACTAGTTTCTTCCTAGCATTATGGATTTAAAGTTCCTCCATGTCTTTTCATGGCCTGATAGCTCATTTCTTTTGATCACGGAGTCATATTCTGTTGTACAGATATACCACAGTTTGTTTAGCCATTCACTTAGTACAGGACATTTTCATTATTTCCAGTTTTTGACAAGTATGAGCAAAACTGTTGTAAATACCTGGATGCAAGTTTTTGAGTGAACATGTTTTCACATTACTAATACCTAAAACAAATACCTAAAACTGCTATTTGCAGGATTATGTGGCAAGGCTATGTTTANCAGTTTTTGACAAGTATGAGCAAAACTGTTGTAAATACCTGGATGCAAGTTTTTGACTGAACATGTTTTCACATTACTGTGGTCAATACCTAAAACTGCTGTTTGCAGGATTATGTGGCAAGGCTATGTTTAGCTTTGCCAAAAAAAAAAACCTGCCAAACTGTTTTCCAAAGTGACTAGCATTTTGCATTTCCGCTAGCAGTGAATGAGAGTTCCCATTGCTCTGCATCTTTGACAGCCTTTGGTATTGTCAGTTGTTCGGATTTGAGCCATTCCATTAGGTGTATTTGAGCCATTCCATTAGTGTAGTGGCATCTCATTGGTTTAATATGCAATTTCCTAGTGACACGTGATATCGAGCATCTTTATCATATGCTTATTTGCCATCCATATGTCTTTTCTGGTGAAGTATCCAGATCTTTTGCCCATTTCTAAATTGGGTGGTTTGCTTTTTTATTATTGAGTTTTAAGAGTCCATTATATATTTTGGACACCAGACTTTCATCAGATCTGTATTTTGCCAATATTTTTTTTCCCAGCCTATCATTTGTTTATTCATTTTCTTAACAATGTCTTTCACAGAGCAGAAGTTTTTAATGAAGTTCAATTTATCAATTTTTTCCTTCCTGGATTGTGCTTTTGACATTGTATCTGAGAAGTCATCGCTAAACCCAAAGTCACCCAGATTTTCCCCTATGTTATCCTCTAGGAGTCTTACAGGTTTGCACCTTACATTCAGGGGTAAGATCCATTTTGTGAAAGGTGTAAAATCTGTGTCTAGATTTATTTATTTTTCGCGTGTGGATATCTAGTCATTCTAGCACCATTTGTTGAGAAGACTATCCTTTCCCTGTTAAATTGCCTTTGCACCTTTCTCAAAGATCAGTCTATTTCCGAGCTCTGTATTCTTTTCTGGTGACCTATTTGTCTGTTTTTTTCTTCCTTCACAAATTTCCATACTCTTTGGTTACTGTAGCTTTATAATTAGTGCTGAAGTCGGCAGTGTCAGTTCTGTCAGTCCTGTGGGCATTTTTCTGATCTTTACCATGAGAACCTGGTTGTGCTCCAGGTGGTAAAACTTAGAAAAGTGTGAGATCCCCCCTAAATCTGGGCCCCAAGGAGTTTTGAATGCTCAAGCCAGGCCACCCTCAGCTTCTAGTCATCTGTCAGTACCATTTAAGTGCTCCTCCCAGTTGCTGGATTGAGCAGCTTCTGTTCCCTGTATTTGTCTGTCTTTCTTGTTTTCAGCATGGCAATTTGCCCTGCGACCTCTCCTCTAGTCCCTCTAATAAGTTTTGGTAATTTTCAGTTTCTTCAGCTTTTTTCTTGTTGTGAGGACAAGTGGTGAACTCCTGACTCCTTACAAGTTGGAGTTGAAACCAGAAATGTCATTGAACAAGTTACTTGTAATAAAAGTCACTAATTGCAAATGTAGAATTGAATAATTTCAGTAGATGTGTAGAATTTTGTAGCCATCACCTCAGTCCCCTCTTAGAATATAGACTACATTTCTTCCCTCCCCAGACTCCCCAGAGGCTCTTTGCAGTCATTTTCCAATCCCTTGTCACCATGATGGAGCCTGAACAAAATTAAAATTTGGGAAACGAACAACATTACATTTCAGCTTTTATTAGATTGGGATTTTATCTAATGGACCATTGTCTTACTCTTGTGTAAACTAGAGGAGATATTTTATTCTAAGGACTTTCTTTGGGGTAACTTAATAGTAGTCCTGTTTATTACTCTCCTTGAATTGGTTCGTCTATGCTGGTAACATAGTTGCTATCAAACCTTGTCTGGTGATCACAAGTGAAAGAGCTAAAAAAAAAAATCCTTCTATTAGAAATGTAGATGATGAATTTGCAGATAATGTTATGCAGAGTTCCGTTTGTTTGGTTTTCCCCTGGAGTTTGCTCTTGTTGTGCAGGCTGTAGTGCAATGGTGTGATCTCGGCTCACTGCAACCTCTGCCTCCTGGGTTCAAGCAATTCTACTGCCTCAGCCTCCCGAGTACCTGGGGTTACAGGCGTGCACCACCATGCCAAGCTAATTTTGTATTTTTAGTGGAGACAGGGTTTCTCCATGTCAGTCCGGCTGGTCTTGAACTCCCAACTTCAGGTGATCTGCCCTCCTCAGCCTCCCAAAGTGTTGAGATTACAGGCATGAGCCACCATGCTGGAGTGCTATGTGCAATCTCAGCTCACTGCAACTTTTACCTCTAGGATTCAAGTGATTCTTGTGCCTCAGCCTTTCGAGTGGCTGGGATTACAGGCATGTACCACCATGCCTGGCTAATTTTGTATTTTTAGTAAAGAGTTTCTCCATATTGGTCAGGCTGGTCTCGAACTACCAACCTCACATGATCCACGCACCTTAGCTTCCCAAAGTACTGGTATTACATGCATAAGCCACCACACCTGGCTGGAAGTTAAATATTTAACATCTTTTTTTTTTTTTTCTTTCAGAAATTGGATTGGTAACATTGAAGAGACACTTCTCACCTGCCTGAAATGCCCTTCATTATCTTCTTCAAGTTGCAAGGGCTCTGGAACAGCCCTTACAGTGCTCCCATTAAGGTAAGTATAATATTTTACTGTAGCCCCTTGCTTTTTTTTCTTTTTTTGTGCCTATAAAGATTAGCATACATGTATGTGAAAATATAAACAGCACAGATAGGCACCTGTAACTAGTTTTCTGTTGCTTCCTATGAACGCATTATAACAAATTAGTGGTTTGAAACCACAGAACTCAGGAATGATTGGGTTCTCTGATCAGGGTCTTAGGAGGCTGAAATCTAGTTACGGGCTGCCTGTGTTTTTCATCTAGAGCTCAGGCTACTCTTCCAAGTTCACTACAGATGTATCGGCAGAATTCCTCTTGTGGGTGGAGGACTGGGATCCCTTTTTCAGTGCTCCTGGCTCTCAGCCAGGAGACACCCTGAGTCCAGAGGCCACCTGCATTCTTTCTCACTTTTCCCATCTTCCAACCAACAACAGCCCATGGAATTCTTCTCCAACTCCCATCTTCTCTCTGACTTTGTCTTCTACCCACTAGAGAAATCTCTGACACTTTGGGAGTGATGTGATTCTATCCGGCACACTCAGAAAAGCTCAGCCTTTGTATTAGTCTGTTCTTGCAGTGTTATAATGAATGACCTGGGTGATTATTTGTAAAGAAAGAAGTTTAATGAGATCACGGTTCTGTGGATTGTGCAGGCTTCTTCTTCTGGGGAGGCCTCAGGAAACTTAGAATCTTGGTGGAAGTGGAAGCAGGCATGGTCTTCACATGGCCGGCAGGAGGCTGGGGGGTGGGGGGAAGAGAGAGAGAGAGAGAGAGAGAGAGAGAGACAGAGAGGAGTGGGGGGAAGTGCTACATACTTTTAAACAACTAGATCTCATGGAAACTCTTTCATGCGACGGCACTTGGGGGATGGTGCTAAGCCATTAGAAACCTTCCCCATAATCCAATAACCTCCCACCAGGTCCCCTCTCTAACACTCAGGATTATAATTCACATGAGAGTTGGGTGGGGACACAGAGCCAAACCATATCACTCTTTAAAGTCATATGACTGCCATCTAACAATGTAATCATAGGAATGTCTCATCAGCTTAACAAGTTCCAGAGATAAGGGTACAGCATGTTTGGAGACCATTTTAGAAATTCCACCTATCACAGTTCACCTTTTGGTCCCAGACATTTACATTCCTCACAGATGCAAAATACATTCAACTTCTCACCTAAAGTTTCCAAGTTTTGTGTCATGAATGCATTAGTTCAAGGTGAAAAATGTCATGTAGCTCTAATCTGATTGAAAGTTTAAAATCTCATTTAAATCATCTATACCAAGTGTGAATGAGGCTTCTGAGGGTTTCCATTAAGTACAGATTCTTTTTTGTTTTTGTTTTTGAGAGTGAGTCTTGGTCTGTGACCCATGCTGGAGTGCAGTGGTGTGATCTTGGCTCGCTACAACTTCTGCCTCCTGGGTTCAAGGGATTCTCCTGCCTCAGTCTCTTGAGTAGCTGAGATTACAGGCATGCATCACTGGTTTCAGCTAATTGTTTTGTATTTTTAGTAGAGACGGGGTTTTGCCCTGTTGGCCAGTCTAGTCTGAAACTCCTGACCTCAGGGGATCTGTACCCCTAGGCCTCTGAAAGTGCTAGGATTATAGGCATGAGCCACCATGCCTGGCCCAAGTACAGATCCTTGATATAATTCCCTTACCTCTGTTGACCTGTGAAACTGAACAAACAGCTTATCTGTCCTCAGTGTGCACTGGTGGGACAGTCACAGAATAAGGATGTAGTGATTCTTGTTCAAAAAGAGGGAAAGTGGAGGGAACAAAGTCACTGATCCAAAACCATTTTGAAATGGGGCTGAGCAAAGTCCGGCAGGGATGTCTTGATTAGGCTCTTCAGCTTGGAACTAACCCTCTATGACAGGGGACTTTGCCTCTGGGCCCTGCATTTTTTTCTATCGTTATTGAAAACATTTTATTTTTCTTCTTCCCCCACTCTTTTGGTTCTTCCCCTTTCTCCTCATGACAGCATCCTCCACTTAATCCTTTTTGCATCATCTCCAGCAGAATTGGTCAGATATTGCCCATGTCATGGTCCTGACCATCTTCACGAGGGGCTGTCCTTGTGAGCCCGTGCTCCTCTTCACTGTCCTGACCTCTCTCAGTCATGATTGCTTTCAGCTGACCTGGCTGGCTTAGGAGAAAACCTAAGACTATAGAGTCCCAGAACAAATATCTGCCCTCTCTATCTCCAGGAGAGGAAGAAAATAACAGGGATCTTCATGGAGAAATGACCCAGGTGAGGGCCTGGACTCTCCAGCAGTTAGAGCAGAAGAAAGATTTTGATGAAGAATGGAGGACCTAAGAGCCCAGGCCGGGAGAGCAGGGTTGTGTGAAACGCTGTTTAATCCTATGTGCTCCCTGCCCCAGTCTACCAGCCAGTGAATGACAGCTGACCAAGTATAAATGCCAGGACTATAGAACTGTGATAAAGAGTTTGTCCAAAGAAAGGGGCTTTTACTCTTTTTGTTATCACAGTGCAAATTGCTGTTTTTCATCTAAAGTTTCTGAAAGGCAGCAGTGAGCTTCTGGAGGGTGAGTTACCTGCTATGCACAAGGAGGCTGAGGCCAAGGCTTGTGGTGGATCTGCTGCCAACAAGTGATGAGGGAGGGAGCCTGGGAGAGTCTCAGTCTTTCTGGGCTTCAGGTTCCTCATTGGTAAGGTAGGGGTTTTTTGGTACCTCTCCGAGGTCCCTTACTGCTGTGTTTTCTCTGTGTCTCTGAGGAATTGAGATGGTTTTCAATGCTGCCTGGGACCTTCAGCTGAGACCTGACTCTGTGTGTCTCCTGCAGGAGCCTGAGCTGAGTCTACACGCTGGAATCCCAGAGCTGAGGGAACAGCTGGAAGAAAGAAAGTCAGCAGGTTTAGGGGATGAGAATAATCCACAAAGGACAAGGCATTGGTAAATGAAAACCAGAGAAGGGGAGAATGAGGACAAACTGGGACAGAGGCCTGAGGGGAAATGGGCAGTGCCTATGATCATTTAAATTCTCAAGGATCAGCATGAGCTCAGCAGTGGGGACTGGGAAACTTACTCCACAGGAATCTCCTGCCTCTGGCCAGAGAGAGCCATAGGGTAGATCAGAGCTGATTTATAGTGAGGGGCAGCTTCAACTCCAGGAGGGGGAGGATGTGACCGTGAGCCCCCACCCCAGACCCAGGAGCCTCGACCTCGGGGCTGCTATAACAGTGGATGCTCTTCAGGTCAGTGTGGGTTAGAGGGAATAACGGTGCTTGGAGAAAGGTTGGAGATGGCCATTCTTACATCGAACAGCTCTGTCCTAGGTCAGGTGCCAGAGTAAGTGTCCCTTGCTTGTATATGAAGCAGTGATCCTTATACTATTTTTCTGCACCTTCAGTTGAGAGAAGTTTCCCATAAATATTTATTATTTACTTTTCTTTATACTGTGCTAAGCACTTGTGATTCAGGTATTTAATGTCTCTAAAAAAAAAAAACTCAAGTCAGTGAGTGGAAGAACACAAACAGATCATTTCAACAAGATACGGTAGTTCTACCCACCTGAGGTGTTGTGGCAGCCTGGAAGATGGGAGGGTATGTCAGAGGACATTGCTCCTAATGACAGGGGAAGCATAAGAGAACATTTTCAGATTGGCTGGGTGCAGTGTGCTCACACCTGTAATCTGAGCTCTTTGTGAGGCCGAGGTGGGTGGATCACAATGTCAAGAGATCGAGACTATCCTGGTCAACATGGTGAAACCCCATCTCTACTGCAAATACAAAAAAATTAGCTGGGCATGGTGGTACGCTCCTGTAGTCCCAGCTACTGGGGAGGCTGAGGCAGGAGAATTGCTTGAACCCAGGAGGCGGAGGTTGCAGTGAGCTGAGATCACGCCATTGCACTCAAGCCTGCGTAACTACAGTAGAGCGAAACTCCACTTCAAAAAGAAAAAAAAATTCAGAACAGGCTAGTCTTCCTTCAAGCTCCCACAGGAGAGGATCCTGGGCAGGGATGGCGTAGGGCTGGCGCCTCTCTAGGGAAGGGGATTTGCAGCATTCTGAGAGAAAGAGCATCCTTACAAGACATTGGGGACAGAAATGTAGGTGACAGGGTTGGAGGTTTCTAATCAGTTTTATTCAGTCATGGATGAACACTGCTGAGAGGCCACTCTGTGCTGGGCCCTTAGCTAAAAACCATGACCACAGAGGTGAGTAAAATAGGATCCCAGCTTTCACACAATTCTCAGTCTAGTGACTGGTGATTCATGAGAAGTGTAGTGATGGTGGGTTCATCGGAATCAGTGGCGGATGCCTCATGAGGTGACCTCAGTGGATGGCCTGGGCCAGTGACCCTGGACTTCAGCCATACTTCAGCATCTCAAGGTACAGTACACCAATGCCTCAGCTCCATGTTAAGTCAAAGCAGTTACACAGCCAAGGTATTCAGAAGATACTGGTTATATCAGTAGCTATTGACTGTTTCCAGCTGGGGAAACAAACAAGTAAATTTAATAACTCTTCTAAATTTGTCCTTGCCATAATGATAAATAACTTTATCTTGATAATGAATTATATCCTGGCAAATGAATTATAATTTGCCATATGAGAAATAACTTTATGCTGAGTACAGCCGACACACAAGCCATTGAGGACACATGCCTGAGGATTCTGATGAAGATATGATGTCCAAATATGTACACATTTGGACCTACAGTCCAGCTTTGAAACAGTGGAAGACCCAGTTTCAAATTCAAGGTTGCTTTGAGTAGAATCTCACTTTACCGCTCTTTGCATGGCAATGGGGCCAGTCTTCCCTATGCTGCCCCTTACAAGAAAAGGAATCATATTGGTAAGATTTCAGACTTCAGCACACATGGGTAAGTAAGGAAGTCTTACAAATCTATTCTAGCCACCTAGCAAGAAATCAGAAATTTAGCAAGTTAATTCACATTCAGGACAGTTGAGTGCATTAGATCAGAGGCCATGATACATGAAGAACAGACCCCTAACAAGGGAAAGTATTTGTTCCTGTCCTAGGACATCACTGCCAACTTCAGGGAAGTGGGAACACAGCTGCCCGCTTTACAGTATGGGTTACTTTTGTGCCTGGAATGTGTCTGATGTCCTGAGACCTGTACCCGTTTCAGGGAGCCTTGGGAGGAGCCTGAATCCCCGATGGAATATGAAATATGGCCAAATTCATGATTTGCTAGCCCTCTTGCTCAGGTTTCTTACCTGATTGTTAGGGTAACAGCATTACCTTGAAGATTATGATGAAGGTATGCTGTCCAAATGTGTGCACAGTTTTGAGCAAAATGCCTGGTACAAATTGGTCAACAAATAATTACTGAATAATTATATGAATATTTACTGAGTGACATGGATTCTATGAATAATTATGGAATAATTGTAATTGCTTTTACTAGCAGTTCTCAAAACTCATCTATGTGTGACCTCAAGTAAGCCACATAACTTAGTAAACCTGCAGTTTCATCATTTTTAAAATGAAGAAACTTGACAGCTTTTCATTCTGCCACAGGTCAGGCTTCCCAGATACTAGAACATACATTTACTTAAAGCCTTTGATATATCTCAAAACAGTGTCCTTACAGTATAGTTGGAGGATGGTGGGGGCTGCAGAGAGGCACGCTTTTCAGTGGGATTGATCCAGTCCTCCTTCCTTCATTGCCACATGAATGCTGGGCAGCCCAGGGTCACACCCATTGCACCCTCAACTCGGGCAAGCCCAGCAGCCAAACATAGGAGATGTGGGCTACAGAACAGTCTCCCAAATCCCAGGCTCACAAAACCTAGGTGGAGATGACGGCTGAGAAAGTGAGGGCGTGGTTCAGGGAATCACTCTTCCCTACTCGTTCTTCTCATCTCAAATTCACCTTCTGTTGCACAGCAACACAGAGGACCACCAACCACCCCTGACCATCACCTTGATCTTGCTGTGTTTGGTTAGCAGGATGCAACCACACATCAATGGTGTTAGATGAACTCAGAAAAATATCTATCAAACAGTATTCCATAAGGGGACCACTCATGGCCCTGTTATTTTCAATATATGGAAAAAATGAAATGAAAGCAACAAAATCGTATCAGGTTTCCAAGATTTCCCAAGATAGATGGTCACATATGCTTTCAAGAGATCTCTATAGAAATGATTTCAATGACGTGACACCTTGAAAAGAGCTCTTCTGGGACTAGAATGACATCCATAAGTGAGAAGTATGAGATGTAGTGTTCAGTCACATTAAAAAACAAATCATCCCACATAGAGGAAGCTTTGGACGTAGGGACGTCACACTGGTCTTAGGTGTAATGAAAAGCCTCTTCTGCCACAAACATCAGTGTAGTGGTATCTGCCAGTAAGAAAAACTAAATAGCATAACCATGGGATGCAGCAAGAAGAATATTGAGCCAGGAAAGAAAACATTTTGAAGAAATGAATTACTCATTGACTTTCTAGTGGATACAGAAAAAACTGCAGAAGACTCAGAGGATGTGATGGCAGTGTAATAGATTGATTTCTTAAACTTGTGGAAAAGCCTTCAATTCTGTTTTAACGTATGAGAAGGAGAGGTGACTGATTTCACGATTGGCATTAAGAAAGTATCACGTGTTGGGAAACTGTTTCTGCCTTGATGGTTTTATACACATGTAAGAGCTGAAAAATGAGGCACATGCTTAGATGTACTGGGAATGAGATGGGACTGTGGCATTGTCACAACGGTACACAAATACTGAGAGTGACTTATAGAGTAATGGTCCCCATCTGTTGTGACCTCAGGTGAGACCAGGAGGCCTGTGTTTTAGCAAACCCTGGGCAATGGAATGAAGGGCTCCTAAGATTCCATGACACGCCCAGCTTCTAATTCTGTTATTGCAACAGCAGACCGTTACCTGGGGCACTGGCCACTATCTCCCACACTCTTGTCAGAGTCTGAGCTGCAGACAGCGCCTTCAGTTCTCAGCTCAAGCATTGTGAACCTTGTTTTTGCGGTTAAGGACCCTAAAGTACTGTGAGGAGGGATCAGGTTTTTCTCAACAGTAAGTTAATAATTTGAGTTACTGATATCCCCCGGTCCTGATTAAAACTATTTGATTTCCAGTTTTTAACCCATCATGTGTTTGGGTTTCTTCTCCCCAGTCCCTGGCTCTACCTTTGGTGCCCCAAATGTCAGGATGGTAGCATCCTGCAGGACGTGTTCCAGGAAGACCACAGAGGCAAACTTTCCAGATACCATCGAGAATTACTACTCCCATCAGGAAGAGACCAAACCGAATATCTGAGCCAGCAAAAATAGACTTCTTATGAGCCAGGTGGCCTACTTCCTGAACTACCAGCTGAAGACATACAGTAAGTTCTATAGGTTGACCACCATGAAAGTGATGAATGATGTCCTGTCTTGTCTCGAGAAACTAACCGTTCTTTTCATCAAAATTAATTTCATCCTTCCCATACTTGCAGAAAATAGCAGTGGGTATTTTAACATTTACTTAACGATGGAAGACAGTGGTGAAAGTATTTAGCAACTTTTCCATGTCTGCAGTAAGGTGGGTGTGGGACTGGGGTTAAAATCCCAGTTATTGATTTCTGACACAGGCACAGAACCACCTATTTTTCTCAGCAAAAGGCTAAATCTTTCATGTTTACAGGAATCCTCTCTGTACCACCTAAGATCGTTCAGACAAGTAGCATCTAGCCTGTTGGTCTGAATGTCTGAGGCTACTGAATTTCCATTTGGTTCTGGTTTCTGCTGAGGCCCAGTAGGCAAAGCTGTGTTCTGGGAACACTGGGGGAAACATGGTGATAGCACACAGTACCCACTGTGAGGAGCTGGAAGGGGACCCTGCTCCTAATAGAACCTGTGCTATCTGTAAGTGGCACCATCAAGAGCAGAGAGTACCCTGGTACTGGTGCCTCAGCCTCCCACTCAGCTGGGATCCCCGGTGGGCACCACCACGCCTGGATAATTTTTGTATATTTACTAGAGGCAGGGTTTCACCATGTTGGCCAGGCTGATTGTGAACTCCTGAGGTCAAGTGATCTGCCCACTTGAGCCTCCTAAATTGCTGGGATTCTAGGCGTGAGCCACCATGCCTGCTCCACAGATTCTTTTTTGAGTAAAGGTTGTTAGAATTCATCCCTTGGTCCAGTCTCCTATATAAATTTCTCTAACAATTTATTGGCAATGATATATGATTAGATAAATCAGTATCGCAGCAACCCTTCTGGAAAGTAGGGTAATTATTGAAGATTTTGGGAAGAAGCTTTAATTTTTTACACTGACTTAGGTCAGAGGATGTGATTAAGATCTACTGGATGAGGGTGATTTTGTCCCATGGATCTGAAAAGCAGGCTCATCTACTTCTAGGGCGACTTAATCTAGGGACTGGTAGATCATTCCTGTCGGAATACCACATTCTTACACTGAGAATATTTTAAGTTCTTGTGCTATGACCGAACACTGATTTGGTCTTGTGTGAAGTGTGATTTGCTTAATGTGACCTACTCTTCTGAATTTGTTTACAGAAGATCGAAAAGATCATGATGAAGAACAGAAATGCAGAGACAGCAAAAATAAACTTCTTAATGAGTCAAGTGGCCTACTACCTGGGCTGCTGGCTGAAGACGGAAGGTAAGTTCTATCGGTTCCCTGTCACAAAAGTGCTGAACAATGTCCTGTCTTTTCTCTGAGAAACGATGCATTATCTTCTTCAAAGTTAATTTCATCCTTCCCATACTTCTAGGAATATAGCAATGGATATTTTAGCATTTAGTTAAAGATGGAAGACAGAGGCCAATGTGTTTAGCAACTTTTCCATGTCTACAGTAAGGCGGGTGTGGGACTAGTGTTAATATCCCAGCAATTGATTCCTGACATAGGCACAGAACCACCTGTATTTCTCAGCAAGAGACTAAATCATGTTTACAGGAATCCTCTGTGTACCATATGAGATCCTGCAGAACTTATAAGCAAGAAAATGGTAGAAGTTTCAAGGTGACTGAGTAGCTAAGACAAGTTGACTTTAAGAAGATCACGAGAGGAGGTAAGAAGAGTAAAAGCGGGGAAACAACATCTTCAAATCATAGGCAAGGCTGTCAGTGACATCGCTCAGTCCCGATTAAACCAATTTGACGTCACCATTTTCTAACCCATCATATGTTTGGGTTTCTTCTCCCCAGTCCCTGGTTATCTGTGTTCTGCCCCAAATGTCAGCACGGTGGGATCTGACAGGCCTCCTTCCAGAAAAAACACAGAGGTGAACGTTTCAGAATGCATTGAGAAATCCTGCTCCCAGCAGGAAGAAAACAAACCAAATTTCAGAGCCAGCAAAAATAGACTTCTTATGAGTCAGGTGGCCTACTTCCTGAACTACCGGCTGAAGACATACAGTAAGTTCTATAGGTTGACCACCACGAAAGTGATAAATGATGTCCTGTGTTGTCTTGAGAAACTAACCGGTTTCTTCATCAAAATTAATTTCATCCTTCCCATACTTGCAGAAAATGGCAATGGGTATTTTAAGATTTTGTTTAAGATGGAATACAGAGGCCAAAGTGGTTAGCAAGTTTGCCATTTCTGCAGTAAGGTGGGTGTGGGACTGGGGTTAGAATCCCAGCTATTGATTTTTGACACAGGCACAGAACCACCTGTTTTTCTCAGCAAGAGGCTAAATCATGTTTACAGGAATCCTCTCTGTACCATGTAAGATCCTGCAGACAAGTAGCATCTAGTCTGTTGGTCTAAATGTCTGAGGCTACCAAACTTCCATTCAGTTCCAGTTTCTGCTGAAGCCCAGTAGGCAAAGCTGTGTTCTGGGGACACTGGGGGAAACACAGTGATAGCACACAGTACCAGCTGTTGGGAACTTAAAGGGGACCCTGCTCCTAATAGAACCTGTGGTATCTGTAAGTGGCTCCATCAAGAGCAGGGAGTACCCTGGTACTGGTTCCTCAGCCTCCCAATCAGCTGGGATCCCTGGTGGGCAGCACCACATTTGACTAACTTTTGTATTTTCAGTAGAGGCGGGGTTTCACCCTGTTGGCCAGGTTGCTCTTGAACTCCTCAGGTCAAGGGATCTGCCCTCCTGGGCCTCCTAAAGTGCTGGGATTCCAGGCGTGAGTCACCATGCTGGCTCCACAGATTCTTTCTTTAGTAAAGGTTGTTAGAATTCATTCCTTGGTCCAGTCTTCTATATAAATTTCTCTAACCATTCATTGACCATGACATATGATGAGATAAATCAATATTGCAGCAGTACTTCTGGAAAGCAATTGGGGCAATTTTTGGAAGATTTTGGGGAAAATGTTTTAATTTTTTGCAGTGACTTAGGTCAGAGGATATGATCAAGATCTACCAGATGAGGGAGATTTGGTCCCATGGATCTGAAAAGCAGGCTCATACACTTCTAGGGCAACTTAGTCTAGGGCCTGTTAGGACAATCCTGTCAGAATACCACTTTCTTACACTAAGAATATTTTAAGTTTCTGTGCTATGAGTGGACACTGATTTGGTCTGTGTCAAGTGTGATTTGCTTAATGTGAGCTGCTCTTCTGAATTTGTTTACAGAAGATCGAAAAGAACACGAAGAAGAACAGAAATGCAGAGACAGCAAAAATAAACTTCTTATCACTCAAGTGGCCTACTACCTGGGCTGCCGGCTGAAGACGGAAGGTAATTTCTCTAGGTTCACTTTCACGAAAGTGCTGAACAATGTTGTGTCTTTTCTATGAGAAATGATACATTCTCTTTTTCAAAGTTAATTTCATCCTTCCCATACTTGTAGGAAAATAGCAGTGGGTATTTTAACATTTAGTTAAAGAAGGAAGACAGAGGCCAAAGTATTTAGGAACTTTTCCATGTCTACAGTAAGGCGGCTGTGGGACTAAGGTTAAAATCCCAGCTGTTGATTCCTAACACAGGGACAGAACCACCTGTTCTTCTCAGCAAGAGCCAAATCATGTTTACAGGAATCTTCTCTGTACCATATAAGATCTGCAGAACTCATAAACAAGATAATGATAGGAGGGTTTATGTCCTGGCTTCAAGGTGACTGAGTAGCTAAGACAAGTTGACTTTAAGGAGATCAGGAGTGGAGATGAGAAGAGTAAAAGCGGGGAAATGACATCGTCAAATCAACAGGCAAGGCTGTCAGTGAAATCCTTAAGTCCCAATTGAACCAATTTGATGTCACCAGTTTCTAATCCATTGTGTGTTTGGGTTTCTTCTCCCCAGTCCCTGGCTTTCTGTGTTCTGCCCCAAACATCAGCAAGGTGGCACCTGGCAGGCCTCCTTCCAGAAAAAATACAGAGTTGAACGTTCCAGAAGGCATTGAGAAATCCTGCTCCCAGCAGGAAGATAACAAACTGAATATTGGAGTCAGCCAAAATAGACTTCTTATGAGTCCGGTGGACTACTCCCTGAACTATTGGCTGAAGACATACAGTAAGTTCTATAGGTTGACCACCACGAAAGTAGATGAATGATGTCCTGTCTTGTCTGGAGAAACTGACCACTCTCTTCATCAAAATTAATTTCATCCTTCCCATAGTTGTAGAAAATAGCAGTGGGTATTTTAACATTTAGTTAAAATGAAAGACAGATGCCAAAATATTTAGGAACATTTCCACATCTGCCATAAGGTGGGTGAGGGGCTGGGGTTACAATCCCAGCTATTGATTCCTGACACAGGCACAAAACCACCTGTTTTTCTCAGCAGGAGCTGAATCCATGTTTACAGGAATCCTCTCTGTAGCGTATAAGATCCTACAGACAAGCAGCATCTAGTCTGCTGGTCTAAAGGTCTGAGGCTACTGAACTTCCATGCAGTTCTGGTTTCTGCTAAAGACCCAGCAGGCAAAACTGTGTTCTGGGGACCCTGGGGGAAACACGGTGATAGCAGACATTACCCCCTGTGAGGAACTTAAAGGGGACCCTGCTCCTAATAGAACCTGTGGTATCTGTAAGTGGCTCCATCAAGAGCAGGGAGTACCCTGGTACCGGTGCCTCATCCTGCCAATCAGCTGGGATCCCCAGTGGGCCACACCACATTTGACTAACTTTTGTATTTTCAGAAGAGGCAAGGTTTCACCATGTTGGCCAGGCTGGTCTTGAACTCCTGAGGTCAGGTGATCTGTGTGCCTGGGCCTCCTAAGTTGCTTCGATTCCAGGTGTGAGCCACCATGCTAGCTCCACAGATTCTTTTTTAAGTAAAGGTTGTTAGAATACATCTATCGGTCCAGTTTCCTTATAAATTCCTCTAACCATTCATTGACCATGATATATGATGAGATAATTAGTATTGCAGTAACCCTTCTGCAAAGTAGTTAGGGCAATTTTTGAAGATTTTGGGGGAAAAAGTTACAGTTGTTTGCATTGACTTAGGTCAGAGGACACATGATTAATATCTGCAAGATGAGAGAGATTTTGTCCCATGGGTCTGAAAAGCAGGCTCATCTACTTCTGAGGTGACTTAATCTAGGGCCCGACAGAACATTCCAGTCAGAATATCACATTAGTACACTGAGAATATTTTGTGTCCTTGTGCTATGACTGGACACTGATGTGGTCTTGTGTGAAGTGTGATTTGCTCAATGTGACCTGCTCCTCTGAATTGGTTTACAGAAGATCGAAAAGATCACGAGAAGGAACAGAAATACAGAGACAGCAAAAATACACTTCTTATGAGTCAAGCGGCCCACGACCTGGGCTGCCGGCTGACGACGGAAGGTAAGTTCTATAGGTTCACCGTCACAGAAGTGCTGAAGAGTGTTCTGTGCTTGGTCTGAGAAACTGAACACTCTCTTTATCAGAATTTATTAAATTTTTTCTGTACTTCTAGGCAAATATAAATGGGTATCTTAACATTTTGTTAAAAATGGATGAGAGAGGCCAAAGTATGTAGCACCTTTTCCACGTCTGCAGTAAGGCAGGCGTGGGACTAACGGTGAAGTCTCAGCTGTTGATTTCTGACACAGGCTCACAGCCACCTGTGTTTCTCAGCAAGAGGCTAAATCATGTTTACAGGAGTTTTCTCTGTACCACCTAAGATTCTACAGACAAGTAGCATCTAGTCTGTTGGTCTAAATGTCTGAGGCTACTGAACTTCCATTCGGTTCCGGTTTCTGCTGAGACCCAGTAGGCAAAGCAGTGTTCTGGGGACACTGGGGTAAATGTAGTGATGGCACACAGTACCTACTGTGAGGAGCTTGAAGGGGACCCTACTCCTAATAGAACCTGTGGTATCGGTAAGTGGCACCATCAAGAGCAGGGAGTACCCTTGTATTGGTGACTCAGCCTCCCAGTTACCTGGGATCCCTGGTAGATACCACCACACTTGGCTAGTTTCTGTATTTTTAGTAGAGGCAGGGTTTCACCATGTTGGCCAGGCACCTGTGTTTCTCAGCAAGAGTCTAAGTCATGTTTACAGGAATCTCTCTGTACCACCTAGGATCCTGCAGACAAGTAGCATCTAGTCTGTTGGTCTAAATGTCTGAGGCTACAGAACTTCCACTCGGTTCCGGTTTCTGCTGAGGCTCAGTAGGGAAAGCTCTGTTCTGGGGGAAATTCAATGGTAGCACACACTACCCGCTATTGGGAGCTTAAAGAGGGCTCTGCTCCTTACATAACCTGTGGTATCTGTAAGTGGCCTCATCTAGAGCAGTGATTACTCTGGTCAGAGGGACGTCCTGTCTTCTGTGCAGAGGCTCTTCTTGGTAAAGAGGAAAAACAGCAGCACCCACGACTTTGTGGAGGCAGCAGTGCATAGAGGAGGGACCCTGGGCCAGTCTCCTGAGCTCCATCCAAGTTGCTTCTTTTGTTTGTTACTCAGTTTTGTCATCTGTTCGTAGGATACTATAATAATGCCTACCTCTGTCAATTACTGCACTGAATTAGATGGCCTGTTGATTGTAACTCTCCCGGGACAGTTGTTGGCACAGAGTAAACACTGTCTATTAGTTTTCATCCCACTGTGTCTAGCATAAGAGAAACTTTATTGTTCTGCGCATATTTCCTTTATGGCTTTATGAGAGACTCCAGACCTCCATACTTCCACAATGACAGTTTTGTCAGGGGTATTTTCTTCCACTAAACATACGTGGCCATGACATGACTAGGACTTTCTGAATGAGAACACAGATGGGAAACCCCATGGGGCTGGAGGTCGCAGTATTGTGAATGTCCCTTTTTCCAAGATGGATGGTGGTCTTTGTAACAAGAGGCAGCATCTGTCCAGTTGTAAAGGACATGAAGGAAGCTGTGACAGGAGGGCGGTTGTTGGAGTGGAAAGAGCTCTGGAGTAAGACTGAAGGTTCCCAGGCTGTATCTTCAGCAGTGTTCCTAGGAACTATCAGTGAGCATTGATTTCTCCTTCCTTTCTCTGTCTCCGTTTGCAAAGGCAGGTAAATTTCTCTGTCCCCATCGGCAAAGGCAGACATCTTTCTGTGTCTGAAGCATTCAAATGTGTGAACACTTATGATCGCTTATCACAATGAGATAAAGCCCCTCGCTGTGTGGTGTTGGAGAAAGCACTTGATGTGTGGGCATTTGGTGGTAGGAAGTGGTTCAGACTGGAGCACCCCCCGTGGAGAGAATGTCCCTGAATAACATAGCAGAAGCCACTTGGAGGACCTGTGAAGTCACCTGATGTGCAGAGGATGCTGGGACAAGCTTGTTTATCCTCTCCTAAAAGAAAGAAATAGGTTGTAAATGTGAACTGTGACAGGACACCAAGCCTGTCCCTGTGAATCAGATCTGTGTCAGGATGGTGGAGACAGCTGCCAAAGTCCAGAGAGAGGCTGCACAAGCCTCCAGTGATGTGGAGAGCAGAAGTGTTTTCAACATTTGGCCTCATCTTGACGGTGAGCCTCCGGATCAGAAATGCACTGCCTGGTGGATCAGGAAACCATGCCGGGGCATTTTGTTAAAGAGAAAACATGAGAGCTTTCAGTAGAACAGGGACCCATACACAGGTGTTCATGTCCCTGCACACATTGGGCTGACTGTCCTTGCAGAGTGTGAAATGGGAAATATCTGAACGAACACATCTGTACTTGCAGAAAATAACAAAGGTGAGGATGAAGATGTTCATGTTGTGGAGGCTGAGAAAATACAGGAATCACGTGCCCCCAGGTAACACTGAATAATCAGGAGCAAGTAATGGGTGGTAAAGTATGGAAAAGGTCTAGAAGCACACCCTCTCAGGCGTTTCCCATGGGCCAAAAGCCTGCATTCCACTGGCCACCATATGTACAGTTCAACCCAACTTAGACACAGGGTGTGGCAGCTGTTGTGGTTCTTTGTATGTGCTGAGTGCCGTGTCTGAATTATACAGGGATAACTGAGTCTCTTTCATTCTCGGCTCCTTTCTGTCCAGTGTGATGAATACCAGCTGCTGTCTTTCTCTCTGATTCCCGTGGCAGCCATGCTCAGTTGCAGAGAGAAGGATTGCCTGTTTCCTCTCAAAGGGAACCTCCCATTTGCCTTCTGGGACCACTCTCTCATTCCTCCTGTGAAAACCAGCTAGGACTCCCTGGGGTCCAATCCCTCTTTGTTTAATCTTCTGTCATCTCTATCCCACCTGGCTCATCAGGGAGGTGCAGAAGATTGAAGTCAAGAAAGTTCCTGAGGACTCACTGGAGAAATATGTCATCACTCGTTCAAATAGCTGTGGCCCTACTGACTCCAGCCAGCCTCACAGAGACACCAATGAAATCACATTTGAGGAAGACAACGTCGACTCTGCGCTGGTTGTAGAGAGTGAGTCATCTCATGATGTAGTGGAAGATGCTCTAATAATTCTTTCAGGCGACCTCTACATTCCTGGTTTTTGGTACCTCTGTCTAGGCTGAGGAAGATAACTCTGAAGACAGGCTCTATACACACAAATCAGTTTGAATAAAAACCTATCATGGGATACTAAACACAGATACCAAAGAATTTTTATCTCATCCTCAGCTCATGCCATGGGTTTGTCTCCGAGGCCCAAGTATCAAGTTACCAGACCCCAGACCAGTGCGACAAGCTCATGGTCACCTGTGTGCAGGAGGTGTGCAGGAGGTGTCTGTCAGGTCTCCTAGCTTTGATTCAGTATCTCTCATGTCATTAGGTCATCTGTCCCTGAACAATGTTCATGGAGTTTCTATTTATTGTTAAGGAAACTGGGAGCCTTGCCTATTTATTTGGAGAGATTGTTCCCCAGGTTTTACTGCTTTGAGCTTCAGTCTTGATCTCTTTTAAGCCACCTTGCTTAGCTGCATAGTCACCTTGAAACCAGGATGAAAACATTTCCTCTTTACCTTGCTGATATGTTTCCATAAAGCAAGGCTCAGCCCTGGCTCTCCACCCCATCCATGCAATGGCTGATCTGATGTTTCTTCATATCATCATGTATTGTTTCTTGTTGTTTTTGAGATGGAGTCTCCTTTTGTCACCCAGGCTGGAGTGCAGTGGCACCATCTTGGCTTACTGCAGTCTCTACTTCCCGGACTCCAGTGATTCTCCTGCCTATGCCTCCTGAGTAGCTGGGATGCCCCAGCTAGGTGCCCCCCACCACACCTAGCTAACTTTTGTATTTTTAGTACAGATGTGGTTCACCATGTTTGCCAGGCTGGTCATGAACTCCAAACTTTAAGTGGTTCACCCACCTTGTCCTTTGAAATCACAGATTTTTTTTTTTTTTTGGCGATGGAGTCTCCCTCTCTTATTCAGGCTGGAGTTCAGTTGCACGATCTCAGCTCACTGCAACCTCCACTTTCTGGGTTCAGATGATTCTGCTGCCTCAGCCTCCCAAGTAGCTGAGACTGCAGGCATGTGCCACCATGCCCAGCTAATTTCTTTGTATTTTAAGTAGAGACACGCTTTCACCATGGTAGCCAGGATGGTCCCAATCTCCTGACCTCGTGAAGTGCTCACCTCGGCCTTTGAGAATGCTGAGATTACAGGCTCAGATTCTTTTTTGTTTTTGTTTTGTCTTTTTTTATTCAGTCTCTCTAGAGACTGTCAAAAATTGTTAATGCCGACTCTATTGCATGTCATCACGGCGGGGTATTGGGAAAAGTTTTCAATTAGCAATAATCTCATCTCAGATAAAACTCATTGGCTACGATACTGGCACTGAGCAAAGCTCACAGATTCTTTTTAAAGCAAGTGCTGTTAGAATTTACATATCAGTCCAGTTTCATGTATAGATGCCTCTAACCATTCAATGACCTTGGTACCTGGTGAGATAAGTCTGTATTGCAACAACACTCCCAGAAAAGAGTTTGACTCATTTTTGGAGATTTTCTGGGAAAAAACTTGGTTTAACTTTGCATGGACTCAGACAGAGGATATGGCGTTATGGTCTACCCATAGAGGGAGATTTTGGCCTGTGTCCGGAAAGCAGGCTCACCTACTCACCAGGCTTCATCTAGGGCACCCTGGAATAGTCCTGTCAGAATTTGTATTCTTGTCCTGAGACTACTTCTGTGCTTCTGCTATGACTAAACACTGATTTGATCATATGTGAAGTGTGATTTGCTTAATGTGACCTGCGTCTCTGAATTTATTTACAGACAGTGAAAGTGGTGATGAGGAAGAGGAAGAAAGAGGGCCAGTGCCCCCCAGGTAATGCTGTGGAGTTGTGGGCTGTTAGTTCAATAGTGACACCTGGAGACTGCAGATCCTGGGAAAACGAGGAAGTGATGGTTAGAACTCTTTCTTCCCTTCAGCAGCTACAAATTGTCCTTATTGACAATGTTGTGGGTGATTGGTGGCACTTGTATAGGCTTTAATTTCTCACTCCTCCCAAGATAGGAACCTGCGATCAGATGAGCCAGGTGAACTCAGCAAACAGGGATTTCCTGGTTTCGCCTGTTCTCCCCACTGTGTTTAAACCCAGGGAGAGACGCCTATATGCTTTCTGTCCATTTGTTGTGAGCATGTTTGCTAGGATTTGTGAAGAGAAGGAATTCAAAACATAGACATATGATGTCAAAATACTGGAAAAGGGAGGCCCTTAATACACAAGATCTGGGTGTCTGAAATGCCTCAGGAGCTCTGTTCACTTGAATGCCACATGTAAACTTCAACACAACTTATGTGAGGCAGTTGAAGCCCCGTGTTAGTTCTCGTGCTGTAAGTCGCGATGATAGTTTACAGGGAGAGTCTGGGTGGCCTGCAGTGGCTCATCTGTGGCAAATGCACTGAGCACATACTGCTCATTTGTGCTCTGTCCCCAGGGTAGTCACCCTCCACCCTGCATTTAGAAAGGATAGTTTTTTTTCTCTTGAAGGAAAAATGCCTTTGCTTTCTGTGACCATTCCATTCTGACTTCCATCAGATCAGCTGGGAGACTTTGTTGTCTAATCTCTGTTGGTTTCATCTTCTGTCATCCCTGTCCTGCCTGGCTTATCAGGAATCTGCAGGAGTCTATGGAGGAGGAAGCCCCCCAGGAGTCCTGGGATGAAGGTTATCCGACTCTCTCAATTCCTCCTGGCACATCTGCCTTCAGTGAGTCTTACAGGAGCAACTTACACAAATTAGAGGAGCAGCAAGTCAACTTGGCTGTCGACATAGGCAGTGAGTACTCCATTGTGAAGTTGATAAAGCTCCTATTTGTGTCCCAGATAGACCCCATAGTCTTCTTGCCTTGCTCCGCTGGCCAGGCTGAGAGTTGTCGTCACGGTGGGCTGAACCTATCCATCAATGTAGATTTCAATCACTCTGGATTCTAGTCTGAAGCATGGGCATGCAGTGGGTCAGTGAGCTTTGCTCTCTCTCTAGCCTCAGTCCATGCCCGTCGCACCCTGGACCGACTATCAGGACACTGAAACCCAAGGCAGGTGTTGCCAACTCACACCAAGCCGTGCAGCGCATGTCCATGAGTTGTCTGTCAATGTGAATTAAATGTCTCTTGACAGCTACCATGTTCCTCAGGAGTTTTGTTCCCCATGCATGTCTGTGAGGTTCTTTCCTGTTTGTACAAACTTGGGATAAAGGAATAATGGTCTGCCAGAATAGGGATGTTTCACCATTGGTTTTGAGACACAAACCAAGGAATCTCTGTTATGATTGGCCTTGAGACCTCCTAAAGTCTGTCTCTCACATTATCCTGTTCTCATGCTGAGGAGCCTGAGCTCCCTGTGCAGGGATTAGACAGTGGACTGTTACGGGTGTAGGGGAATGGCTTATTTTGTCTGTCCCTATCTGAATTTATTGCAGAGATTAAAAAGGACCAAGAAGAGAAAGAAGACCGAGGCCCACTGTGCCCCAGGTAACTCTGAGGAATTGTGAACAGCTAATGTTGTGTTGACACCTGCAGACGCCAGGTCCAGGGAAAACAGAGCCAGCTGACAATATTGATACCATCTTTTCAATGAAGTCTGAATTATTCCTACTAACATTGCTATTGGTTTTCATTGCAGTAAATATTTAGGTTTCCGTTTCTTCCTCCCCTTACCATTTATTAACTACTGTAGTTAGACCATACTTGTTTTTATGTTCAGTGTACGCTGTGTGTCCTGAGGATACTAACTCAGAGTGTGCTTTTACTGTCTTATCAGTGTGTCACCTGGACGGTTCACTGAGCTTACTTTCTCTCTCTCTCTTTCTCTTTCATTTTTTTTACCCTACTCTTGTCCATCCCAGCATAAGGCAATAATTTGTTACGTTATTAATGGATCCATGTTTTTTCTTTATTAACCACTTTCTTGTGCTACCCATGAAATCTAGTTGGGGCTCTGCAGTGTCTTATTTTCCCTGACTTACTCTTTGGTTTCTCCTCCTTTTTTAGGCTCAGCATGGAGCTGGTGGAAGCAGAAGAGCCTGAAGTCTTCTGGTACTCACTGGATATATTGTGTTCAACATATACAGCGTATCTCGAGTTTATTACACGTGCCAGGCTTTATTTGTAGAAGAGCATGTTCGCTTGACTTTGGACATGGACAGTAGGTTTCTTACTATGATGGTGATAAGACTCCACCTGGTCTCCCGGATAGGGGTCATATTCCCACACTAAGACAACATGTCACATGGGACTCTGCCAGTCCAGAGTATGAACAACGCCATGTTCTTGCTGAAAACGCTTAGCCTGAGTTTCATAGCCCGAAGTAATCTCCAGACAACTTCAGAATGTAGAACAGTGAGCAGCACAACTGACCTGTCTCCTTCAGACAGCCCATGTCACCACAAATCACACAACTAAAAGAAGAGACATTTTGCGTCAAAAAAGAATAAAAAGTTAATGTAGCCACATTTCTTTAGTTTTTTGAACCCAAAGTGTCTCCTCATCTTTTTGTTGTTGTCGTTGATGGTGGTGACATGGGCTTGTTTGTAAAGGACAGATCAGCTGTCTGGCTCAATGGTCTGTACTCTGAAGTTGTCTGAAAATGTCCTCATGATTAAATTCAGCCTAAGTGTTTTTCGGGGAACACTGCAGGGTCAATGCTACCTCACCCATCTGCAGGTAGAGACGGTCTCATGTGTCTACCACCATGATCATGATGCCAGGACTGTTCCACCATCTGTCTATCACCATGATCGTGATGCCAGGACTGTTCCACAATTTGTCTATCACCATGATCGTGATACCAGGACTATTCCACCATTTGTCTATCACCATGATCGTGATGCCAGGACTGTTCCACCGTCTGTCTATCACCATGATCGTGATGCCAGGACTGTTCCACAATTTGTCTATCACCATGATCGTGATACCAGGACTATTCCACCATCTGTCTATCACCATGATTGTAATGCCAGATCTGTACCTTTCAGAGACACCTTATCTATACTGAAGTAATTGGAAAAATGGTTTTTAGAAGTATTAATATCCTGTATTCAAATGATCATCCCTCAACATTTTATTATTGATTAATCATCCCTGGCTGTGTCAAGTATATTTACATCTGTACACTGGAAATTTTCTATTTTTACTGTATCTTTGCTTTTTCTAGTTTCTGTTATTGAACAAAAAAATTCCCTGCCTGCATTTCAATTTTTGCCAAAGTTAATTTTATTCTATACAGTGAAAAATTTTTGTCTTTTAAGATAAGACCGTCAGCATAAGGTCACAGCAAAACAGAGATGTTGCTAATTTTTAAGCCTTTGTTAATTTCTGGCTGACGGGAGAGGTAGTTTATTTCATTAGCTGCTAATATCTATTTAAGTGAGCAGCCAGAGAAATGTCTAACAGACTAAGGATGTGCAAAGCCCAGGCCATACTCTTTGAGTCTTTTAAACTATTTCAGAAGAGAAGAGAATATGCAGATTCCACTTATGTGGACAGGAAGGAAAATACACTAAAAGACACAGCCGTTTCCAAAAACAGAATAGAAAATCCATTAAAATTCATATTTTCTCATGAAATGTAATCTCTCTAAACTTAGCCATTATATGAAAGTCAGTTCTTAATATACCACACTACATTGACTGTTGACATTTCTATGTTTGTTATTTGAAGTAGCAAAAGGACTATAATCCTTTTTTTCTTTGCCGTGATCTTTTTAAGATTGAGGATTGTTCTTCAAAATAAAACCAAAGATTTTAAACATTGAAAATTGGCATTAAAATTTATGTTTTCAAAGTAATGATGTTTAACTCAGGCTGTCTTATTCCTGTTTGTAGTATAACTTTCAAGTGATCATTTAACCATTCTTTAAATGTTTCAAATTACTGGGAACAAACCACATTCCAGGGCATATCTTCTTTTGTTTATTTTACTTTAAGTTCGGGGGTACATGTGCAGCTCTTGCAGAATTGTTACACAGGTACACACATGCCATTTTGGTTTGCTGCCTCCAACCCCCCGTCACCTGCATTAGGTATTTCTCCTAATGCTATCCCTCCCCAATCTCCCCACCCCCTGCTATCCCTCCACTAGCTCCCCCACCCCGTCTCAGGCCCCAGTGTGTGATGTTCCCCTCCCTGTGTCCATGTGTTCTCATTGTTCAACACCCACTTACGAGTGAGAAGTTGCAGTGTTTGCTTTTCTGTTCCTGTGTCAGTCTGCTGAGAATGATGGTTTCCAGTTTCAGCCGTGTCCCTGTAAAGGACATGAACTTATTGTTTTTTAATGGCTACCTAGTTTTCTATAGTGTATATGTGCCACATTTTCTTTATCCAGTCTATCTTTGATGGGCATTTGGTTTGGTTCCAAGTCTTTGCTATTGTAAGCAGTGCTGCAGCAAACATACGTGTGCATGTGTCTTTATAATAGAATGTTTTATAATCCTTTGGGTAGGTACCCAGTCATGGGATTGCTGGGTCAAATGGTATTTCTGTTTCTAGATCTTTGTGGCATCACCACACTGTCTTCCACAATGTGCCTGAATATTATGTCTTTCTCTAAGTTTAGAAAGTTTTCTGTTATTTCTTTTAAGAAGCTTTCTACTCTTTGCTCCTTCTCAACCCCCTATTTAAGGCCAGTGAATCTTTGATTTTCTCTTTTGAAGCCCTCTTCTAGATCTCTTAAGCATTCTGTGTTCCTTCTCATTATTATTTTCTTTTTTCTCCTCTGACTGTATTTTGAAGTAGCTTGTTTTAATGCTCACTAATTCTTCTGCTTAATCAATTCTACTGACACTCACTCAGGCATTTTCCAGCTCCAGGATTTGTTTGCTATTTTCTATTACGTCAGTATCCTTGTTAAATTTTTCTGATATAATTTTGAATTGTTTCTGTTTTCTTGAAGTTAATTGAGCTTTCTCAAAATAGTTATTCTAAATTTCCTGAGAAGTTACATATCTCCATCGCTCCAGGGTTGGTCACTGGTGGCTTATCTGATCTATTTGGTGAGGTCATATTGACTTAAATGTTCTTGATACGGTGGATATTTGTCAATATCTGAGCATTGAAGGATAAGGTATTTATTCCAGCCTTTGCAGGCAGGTCTTGTTTGTACCTGTCCTTCAGAGGGCCTTCAGGAATTCAAAGTGGGCTGACGAGTTCCCTAAGCCAGTGGTCACTACAGCCATTTTTGTACTACAGGGCACCCTAGGCCCAGGTACACTGCAATCCTTACAGATTCCCAGGTCCCCAGCCCTCTTGGACTCGAGGAAGATCAGGAATTGTTCTCTGGGTTCCCAGGTAAAGCCCCTAGCTTACTTTCCTCTATTTCCCCCAAGCCAAAGGAATCTCTCTGTAGGCTACACTGCCTGGAGTGTGGGGAAGGGTGATGCAAGCATTCCTATAGCTGCTGCTGTCATACTGGCTGTGACCTCAAGTCCGGCGTCTTCCAGACCTACACAACATCAGGGTTTGCCCAAGGAGTGTTGTAGTCACTGGAGCCTGCCTGCCCGTGACATTTATTTAAAGCCCAGTTAATTTTCAGTGATAAAGCTGACCAGAACTTTGGTGGATTCTTCCTCCTGGGGCAGCTGATTCCCTTGTGGCCCAGGGTGAGTCTAAATGCTGCTTCTGTGGACATCGGCCTGGAATCAAGCACTCTTGGGTTCTGTTCAGGGCTGTGTTTCTCTATGGCAAGACTGGTACTGAGTTTCCTCCTTGTCTCCAAGCCATTAGATTCTCTCTCAAAGATGCATTTCCTGCGGTTCGGAGAGAGGTGTCAGAAGCAAGGCAAGACCATCCTTCCTGCCTTCTTCAATGCATTTATTATTATGCTAAAACCAGGTGCTCTGATCTCTCACCTGATTACCTAGCTCTTGTGAAAGTGTTTTCGTGCATGGATACTTGTTCCATTGGATGTTCCTTCAGGGAGACCATTGCTGGAGGGTTGTATTCTATGATCTTACTGCACCTCCCACTTGGTTTTCTTTTTTAAATGTTTCTAATAAATACTTGTGAAGTGATAGCTTTATTTTAATCTTGGGGATCAAAAGCATGTAGCTAAGAACTTTTCCCAAAAAGCATTTAAAAATTTTTATGTCAATGTTGACGGAATGATACACTTTTTGACTCAAGGGTCTTAAATGGATTTTTAGTTTTGATTCAATGTGACAGAACACTGTTTTTATAAAGTGTGATCTGCAGCCCTCATGTACTAAAATCACCTGTGGTGCTTATATTATAAAAAAGCAGATCCTAGGGCCCACACCACCTAAATCTCCTGGGGTTGGAGACTAGTGTGTAGCTCCTCTCATCTCCACAGCTGCTTCTCAGGTACACCAAGTTTAAGAACCATTCTTTCATGTTTTCAGACTAGGGATTCTTACAAAATGGCAAAGAAGAAAAACCTTAATCTTTTAAAGTTAAGAGTTCAAGTCCCCAATTTCCACTCCCCACCCACCCCACTTTGCTTGCCGCGGTTGGGTCCGCGGCCTGTGCTGTAGCGGTCACCGCCATTCTTTGGAAGTATCAACTTCCCTACCCCACCCCAGCCCTGGTCCCCGTCCAGCCGCTGACGTGAAGATGAGCAGCTCAGAGGAGGTGTCCTGGATTTCCTGGTTCTGTGGGCTCCGCGGCAATGAATTCTTCTGTGAAGTGGATGAAGACTACATCCAGGACAAATTTAATCTTACTGGACTCAATGAGCAGGTCCCTCACTATCGACAGGCTCCAGATGTGATCTTAGACCTGGAGCCTGATGAAGAACTGAAGACAACGTCAACCAGAGTGACTTGATTGAGCAGGCAGACGAGATGCTTTATGGATTGATCCATGCCAGCTACATCCTTACCAACCGTGGCATTGCCCAGATGTTGGAAAAGTACCAGCAGGGAGACTTTGGCTCCTGTCCCTGTGTGTACTGTGAGAACCAGCCAATGCTCCCCATTGGCCTTTCAGATATCCCAGGTGAAGCCATGGTGAAGCTCTACTGGCTCAAGTGCATGGATGTATACACACCCAAGTCATCGTGGCACCATCACACGGATGGCACCTATTTTGGCACTGGTTTCCCTCACATGCTCTTCATGGTGCATCCCGAGTACCGGCCCAAACGACCTGCCAGCCAGTT